AAAGGTTACAGTGGTACCTTGCTTTAAGAACAGCTTAGTTTACGAACAACTTGGATTAAGAACATTGCAAACCTGGAAGTAGGTGTTTTGGTTTGTGAACTTTGCCTTCGTTTAAGAACATGTTTCGCTTCCTGTTGAGTGTGTTCCATTTGTAAATTGAGTCCCCCGCTGCTATGGGAAAGCACGGCTTGGTTTAAGAACGCTTTGGTTTAAGAACGGACTTCCAGAATGGATTAAGTTCGTAAACCAAGGTACCACTGTACATAATAAAAACAAGAACACAAACACATTCAAATGGATGTTAAATCAGCCAAACGCATTCAGATAGGATGCTAATCAGCCCAAGGCATGGTTGCAGAGAAACATTTCCACCTAGCGCCTTAAGCTATATAATGAAGGCACCAGGCGGACTGCCCTAGGGAGAGCATTCCACAAATGGGGAGCCACCACAGAAAAGGCCCCGTTCTTCTGTTGCTACCCTCCAGACCTTTCATGGAGGAGACGCACGAAGAAGGACCTCAGAGGATGGCTTCAGGGCCTGGGTAGGTTCATATGTGGAGAGGCAGGCCTTGAGGCATTGCGGTCCTGAGTTGTTTAAGGCTTTACAGGTGAGAAGCAGCACTTTTGAACTGGGCCCCAAAACTAATTGCGTGTTGAGGTCCCCAGGGCCACCCCAATAACTCACACATCACACAGAATTTTTTGTTTAAGATTTTTGGCATAATTTTGGCCACAACTTTTTTAAAATACAAATTTGTGAGTGGTTGCTTAGGCATTGGTTGCGAATATCTGCCATGGGGGACAGACTGACATTCCGCACGATGTGAAAGTCAGAATAGGGGAATACACTTGGGGTAGCGTTGGCGCAGGGAACCTGCCCTCAGCCCTCCCCAAATGCAACCAGGAGCTCATTGCTATGGCCCGAGCCCCCTTGACAGAGTGGACAAGCAATAGTTAGCCCCCAATTTCTTTAATGGAATCCCTTGCAGCAGCAGCATTAGAGGAGCAGGCACAGCCAATCCATGCCCCTCAACCAACCAAACCATAAACCAATGCCTAACCACAACCTTACAAGTTGTGACGATTTGCTACGCAGTAGGCAAAAACCAAATGGCCCCAGCCAATCAGCCAGATGGACAGAATTCCTACCAGGCCCCTGCCCCAAGAGCAGACGACCCCATGATAGGCATAGCAAGGTCAAAGCGAACAACCCTACATATAGGGAGGGAGGGACGGGCAATCCGATGCACGGGCGAAAAGAGGAAGCCCTAGCCTCGTGCTAGGAGTTTTAGCATTTCTGGCTGTCAGTCAACAAATGGCAACATTAACTTCTTCCCAACGACAAGGGAAGCCCAATCGCATCAGTGGCCAACGATCAATTAGCCCGCCCACAGCTTTGGAGTGTCCTGGCGGCCCCACCGCAACACGTGCTCTCCATGAAGGAGAACACGCTTTGGCAGCCAGTGCAGTCGAGCCAGGATTGGCGTTATATGCTCAAACTTCCTTGCCCCGGTGAGCAACCTGGCCACTGAATTCTGCACCAACTTAAGTGTCCGAATCATCTTCAGAGGCAGCCCCACATATAACACATTGCAGTAATCTAACCTATGGGTTACCAGAACATAGACAACAATAGCTAGGCTATCCCTGTCCAGATAGGGGAGAAGCTGGGCCGTCAGAGGACCACTCCGTTGAGCCTCAGGCATGGACTTGGTGCAGACCTTGGCCACCATCTGAGAGACATTGAAACAAAGCTGGCATGCAAAGAAGGAAGAGGTGACTGATACCAACATCATTAGGTCCTGTAGGCTGGCAGTAAGGGTCTGCATAGATCAGGAACAGTGTTTGTGCTGGAACAATGCAAGAATTCTTGGCATCTTAGAGAGGCGGGAACATGCAAACCCCACAACTTTTCCTGACCGCACTGAGATAGTTGGAAGCAGTTGCAAAGGATCCTAGTTGTTGTTGTTTAGTCGTTTAGTCATGTCCAACTCTTCGTGACCCCATGGACCAGAGCACGCCAGGCACTCCTGTCTTCCACTGCCTTCCCGCAGTTTGGTCAAACTCATGCTGGTAGCTTCGAGAACACTATCCAACCATCTCGTTCTCTGTCGTCCCCTTCTTCTTGTGCCCTCCATCTTTCCCAACATCAGGGTCTTTTCCAGAGAGTCTTCTCTTCTCATGAGGTGGACAAAGTATTGGAGTCTCAGCTTCAGGATCTGTCCTTCCAGTGAGCACTCAGGGCTGATTTCATTAAGAATGGAGAGGTTTGATCTTCTTGCAGTCCATGGGACTCTCAAGAGTCTCCTCCAACACCATAATTCAAAAGTATCCATTCTTCGGCGATCAGCCTTCTTTATGGTCCAGCTCTCAGCTCTCAGGATCCTAGTAAGGGACCATAAAATCTGTGGCACCATTTTCCTTGGCGAGGAGCTGGTGAAACTGTTTTGACCCCATGGTTTTGGTGATGTTGGCACACACAAAAACCCAGTCAAATGCCCTTAGTTATATTCCCTTTCTCCTCTCTCGTTACGTTAATTGATTGCAGACTTTAGCTTGCAGCCAAATATGTTCCCCAAGTTTGAGGAATTATCTGGGGAACAATCTCAGGGGAAACTGTTGGACCCCAAGTTTGCACAGAGGAAGGCATAGCGGGGCATTCATGGCATTTTCAGAAGAAAGGCGTTGTTTCTGTGTTGCTTCCTGAGTTGAAAACCTGATCGCAGATGACCGCAGAAAGCCTTGGGAATGATCTCAGAGGCTTTGGTTCACCACAGAATCCCATGAAAGTCAGATGATCATGGACTTTTAAAAATACTTTTCTACACAAGGAGGAAAGAGAGGAGGGGTGCAGTTTTCTAACTGAATGGTTCTCATGTGCCTTTTCCACAGCTGTTGTTTTGATAAAAGCAGTTGAGATCTTTCCAGTCCAACAATTTTCCAGTCCTCAGAAGTTTATCAGAGTTTCTTGGGTGACAAGATGAGTAACAGTAGGGAACCTTTTTATCAAAATACAGCTTTCCCCTAAAACACATTGTTGTAGTGTTGAATATGTACTTTGAGTTTATGCAGAGCAGTGGCCCAACAGCCTTGCCACACGAACTGATTTAGAAGAGAGCATGGGACATGTTGGAAGTCTTTAAGTCTAGGCAAATCACAAACTAGGAAGCAGTGAGTGGACAAGCCAGGAAGTTGAATGAAACCGGCTGCTGCTAGTTTGCAGTTTCTCCCTTTCAGTGCTGTTGACACTCCTCAGCAGACCATCCCCTGTTGCCATGGGTGAAATCTCCAAATCATACCTGCATCAAAACCAAAATTGCTATATGTGCAAGGCTCGGATGTTGCAAAGACGCCTCTCTTGCACCTCCACCTGAAATGAAAATGAAAACTTAACGTTGGTGGCAGTTGATAGGCTAGCAGTCACTACGGGGCCATTCCTGTGACATAATGAGATGTCGATTAGCAGTCCTTACTGTGTTTAATGTGTCAGGATGCATTGGAAAAGGGAGACACTGTAATTTCTGGCTTATTTTTATTGTCCTTATTTTTATAGCTGTTTTCCAGTCTGTAAACGGGCAGTATAACAGAGTCAGCCTCTTGTCTCTCCATTTCTTAATTGTACTCAGGGTGGATAAAAATCAATGTGGTTGTTATTTATTTATTTAAATCAGATATTTTTTAAAATTTAAATTGGATTTTTTTTTATTTAAATCATTTTTTTTAAATACTGTAAAATGCTTTCGGAGGAAAAATCTTTCTAAAGATAGTTTTCTGTTTAAGTTACTTTATAGTCCAAAGGCTGTTCATCAGGAAATAAGGATTTGTTTTAAGTTTTTTTAAAAACAAACAAACAAACAAACTTTTAACCACATCAGTTAACAAACATGGATACATATGCTATGATGTTATTGTTTTAGTTAAATAAATTGTTTAAATTGTTATTAAGGAAATGATTATTTTTCTCCTTCCAATAAAGTACAGCAAAAAAGTTGTCCAAATATAAACAGTTATTAAACCTCACATTTCATAATTATTTGCCTATGTATTTCTAATAGTATAACCAAATCAGTAATTTTGATATAACTGTAAAAACTACTCTGAACATTTATTATTATTCCAAAAATGAAACCTTCCTCTGGTTGTAAATATTAAGATTATACCAGCAAGAATGAGTCTTTCTTTAAAAGAAAAAGAAAAAAAGATTTTAATCAAGTCTTACTAACTAATGATTTAAATCAAGTCTTGCTGACTCGTGATTTAATCGATTTTAAATCAAATCCACCCTGATTGTACTGTTGATATGCAAGCCACCTTTTGGCATCCTTGGGATGCAGTGAGGTAGCATATATGGGACAGAAATTCCAGCAGCCCTCAAGTAGTAAAGGTAAAGGTAATGGGACCCCTGACCATTAGGTCCAGGCGTGACTGACTCTGGGGTTGTGGCGCTTATCTCGCTTTATTGGCCGAGGGAGCCGGTGTACAGCTTCTGTGTCATGTGGCCAGCATGACTAAGCTGCTTCTGGCGAACCAGAGCAGCGCACGGAAACGCCATTTACCTTCCCGCTGGAGCGGTACCTATTTATCTACTTGCACTTTGACGTGCTTTTGAACTGCTAGATTGGCAGGAGCAGGGACCGAGCAATGGGAGCTCACCCTGTTGCGGGGATTTGAACCGCCAACCTTCTGATTGGCAAGTCCTAGGCTCTGTGGTTTAACCCACAATGCCACCCGCGTATATGGGACGAAAATACCGGCAGCCCTCAAGTAGAGCTCAGTTTAATTGAAAGGGGTGTGGGGAGAAGAGACTGAAGCTTGTCTGGCTATCTGAAGTGGCTTCTTGATATGGGTGTAACTCTGCATAAACCTATTAAGTAACAACACTTTTACCCCGGTAGACTTGCAGGTAAAGGTAAAAGCCAACAAAAAGCAAATGAGTGGATGTCAAATTTACCACCTACTTGCAGATTTTATTCATTCACGTTTTGTCTCTGAACTTTCAGGACCATGAAGTCTCCCGGGAGAACTTTCAGCAGGAAGAGCTAGTGGACCAAAAGACCTCCTGCCGCTGTTGAAACCCACTTTTACCTTGGATATACCAGGGTATTCTAGTGCCTGATTGTTTGCTATAAGGAAACTTGAAGACTGTAAGACATGTCCATTGCACTCAAACAAGTTTTTAACAAGGACAAGACGTTCCGCCCCAAACGGAAATTTGAACCCGGGACCCAGAGATTTGAGCTCCACAAACGAGCGCAGGCCTCGCTGAACTCTGGGGTGGACCTGAAAGCAGCTGTGCAGCTGCCTGGTGGAGAAGATCTAAATGACTGGGTAGCAGTTCACGTGGTGGACTTTTTCAACAGGATCAACTTGATCTATGGAACTATCTGTGAGTTCTGCACGGAGAGGACCTGCCCTGTGATGTCGGGGGGCCCAAAATACGAATATCGGTGGCAGGACGATCTGAAGTACAAGAAACCTACAGCGTTGCCAGCACCCCAGTATATGAATCTTTTGATGGACTGGATTGAGGTGCAAATCAACAACGAGGACATATTCCCTACTAGTGTAGGTAAGTTTACACTTGTGTCTTAAGAATGGCATGCCACACAACAGGTTCCTCTTAAGACTTGTCGGATATGGTGTTTGGCTCAACCATCGGCCTACTCTTCAAAATCCCTCGCACATCCCTTATTTGAACCTCTGTTGGGTTTCCAAGTCTCCCCACACCTTTCAAATCCCACCCAGCGGAGCTCTTTCCAATCGGCAATTTGGATGTTGGAACAATAACTGTGTGGTGGGGTTTGCAAGGCCTAAAGAAGCATGGAAAGCTAGCTTCGAAGGAGAGGAATGTGAGGGATTTCGATGGTTGGGGGGGGGGCAACATACCTATTGGTCATGTGATGTCACTGACACGACACAAGCGACAGATGGGTTGCCTGAAGTCCTGTCACAGTTGGCCTGCAGAGTTCTAAAAAGCTGGTGTAAGGTCTTGGTTGATAAGGACGTATGGAGAACTTAAACATTTGCCATGCTTTGGGGGACATTTTGATTTGTCTCAGTACAGTTGTACCTCGGAAGTCGACCAGAATGCGTTCTGGAAGTCCCTTCGACTTCCAAAATGTTCGGAAATCGAAGTGTGGCTTCAGATTGGCTGCAGGAAGCTCCTGCAGCCAATCAGAAGCCGCGGAAGCCCTGTCAGACATTCAGGTTCCAAAAATAGTTTGCAAACTGGAACAGTCACTTCCAGGTTTGTGGCTTTTGGGAGCCAAAAACATTTGAGAACTACCGTATTTTTCGCCCTATAGGACGCACTTTTCCCCCTCCAAAAATGAAGGGGAAATGTGTGTGCGTCCTATATGCTGAAGCATGAAGAGCGAGAGGGGTCAGTGCGCAGAGGGGTCGGAAGCTATCCGCAAGTCTTGGGAGCCCGGCGGGAAGTTGCAAGGTGGTTAGATTGGTCTCAGCTAGGGCCAGGGCCTTTTCAGTACTGGCCCCAACTTGGTGGAATGCCCTGTCACAAGAGACTAGGGCCCTGCGGGACTTGACATCTTTCCACAGGGCCTGCAAGACAGAGCTGTTCCGCCTGGCCTTTAGTTTGGACTCAGTCTGACCCTTATGTTTCCCTCCCCTTACGGTTTTAATCTATGGGCGACTTTTAAAATGGGGCTGCATTTTAAATTGCATTTTAACCTGTATTTTAAATTGGTGGTTTTTTTGTGTATTATGTTTTTATTGTAATTTTACTGGTGTTAGCCGTCCCGAGCCTGGCTCTGGCCGGGGAGGGCAGGGTATAAATAAAATGTATTATTTATTATTATTATTAACGAACGGGGCAAAGGCCCCACATGTGCTGAATGTGGGCCTATAAGGGGCAGCAGCAATTCCTCTATATGTGCCTGAACTATTTTGTAGTGAATTTCCTAGTTGTTTGCCATACTTAAGATGCTCAAGATAAGCAGGTGTGCGTATCTCTACGCAAGAAGGAACATTTTCCGGAATATTATTTGCGGTCTCCATAAGCAATTGCCTGCTTCGTTTTGTTCCTAAATCCCTGTAGTATCTTTGTGAGAGATTGATTCCTCGCTGCCCCTTTCAGAACGAGTAGCTTTAAGGAACTGTATCTTTCCCAGCCTGCTCCGTCTTGTTCCAGGACAAAAGCCAAGAACAAAGAAATCAATACATGATCTCCTGCCAGCTTCCTCTTCCCTCGAGTCTGTTTCATCTCTGAAGGCAGCAGTAATAGCTAGGGGAAGGAGTTCCTGCATCAGCCTTGGGCAAGCAGGAACAAGAGTGCCACTATTTTAAAAGACATGTCTGTAGCATAGGCCTAGCCAGGATTTATGTTTTTTGGGGGGACAGGACACCCACCTGTCATCATCCTCTGTCTGGCTCTGCCGAGCGGATTCGAGTGGAATGAAACATCTCAACAACAGCTGCTTTGAATTACTTTCTTTTGACTCCCAAGTGCTCAGAAATACCTGTAAAAACCTTCCGTCATTTGAAAACTAGGAAGTTAAGTGAGCATCAGGTAGTACCTCAGTTAATGAGTATGTTTTGCAAAATCACAAAGAACACGCCTTTTCCCCATCTTGGTTTTTTAAAAAAATCTAAACTGAAACAAGTTTTATTGGATTTGGTGAAAACCTTTTCAGCACTTCCTTCTCAAATTCCTCCTTTTCCCCATACATACATAAATAGCTTTTCCCCCGTTGTTCACTAGGTACTTCTCCATCAGTTATACCTAAAAGAAAAGCTTCTGGTTTTTTCAGAAAAGCTACTTTCATCATTCCCCTCACCCCCAACTTATTATAAATCATTTCCTAGAAGTGATCAATCACTTGTTAATCATTTCTTTCTTTGAGTAAATGAAAGTCCTGTTTATCTTGCGGGAGAATACTGTTGGTGTTCCTTTCACAAGCACAGCCCTGCTGTTGCAAGTGCAAAGAGCTAAAGGCTGGTGAGAGTTTCAGATAATGGACTTACAGTGGTACCTTGGTTTACGAACTTAATCATGTTCCGGAAGTCCGTTCTTAAACCGAAACCGTTCTTAAACTGAGGCACACTTTCCCTAATGAGACCTCCCGCCGCCGGTGCCCTTCCACCATTCGGCTTCCATTCTTAGACTGAGGTAAAATTCGCAAACCAGGACACTACTTCCAGTTTTGCAGAGTTCGTAAACCGAATTATTTGTAAACAGGGCTGTTCTTAAACCGAGGTACCACTGTAATTACTGATTTCACTTGAGCTCAATGTGGGGATGACCAGAAAGGTGTTGACAGGAAGGGTGCCCCTCCTGTATCCTCAGAAGGGTATGCCTTTTTTTAGGAAGGAGAGGGCTTGGCATGGAAATACCTGACCCATGACCTGGCATGGCATCATTTTGGATGCCATAGTAGTTGCGGCCAGGGTGATGGGGTGGCAGAATCTGCCAAATTGGTCCTCAAAGTCTTATACCAAGGAAGTGGCCGTAAAGTTCTCTGTAGGGCATTGGCCTTGGAATTATAAAATGGACAAGTTGTTACCAAATGTGCCTCATCAGTCAGGGATGGGGACCTTGTGGCCGATGCGGCAATGAGACATTCCATTTTGACAACCGCACCCTTGGTTTGAGGAGCCATGGCGGCGCCTAGCTTACAGTATATCTTGAGTTTCTAACGCCTTGAAAAGGTATTAATGAGAAATGACTACCGGGAGTGGTGTGTGAGGGTTAAACCTGCCCCTGTGGCGAGCCTTGCCCAGTGGGGCATGAGAAAACAGCAGGAGTCCTTTTTGAACCTCTGGTGGGTTTCCAAGTCTCCCCACACCTTGCAAAGCCCACCCAGCGGCGCTCTTTTCAATCTGCAATTTGGAGGGTGAAACAATAACCGTGTGGTGGGGTTTGCAAAGCCTAAAGAACCAGACCAATACAGTGGTACCTCGGTTTAAGAACAGTCCGGTTTAAGAACAATTTGGTTTACCAACTCCGCAAAACCTGAAATAGTGTCCCGGTTTGAGAACTTTACCTCGGTCTAAGAACAGAAGCCGAATGGTGGAAGGGCACTGGCGGCAGGAGGCCTCATTAGGGAAAGCATGCCTCGGTTTTAGAACGGTTTTGGTTTGAGAACTGGACTTCCGGAACAGATTATGTTTCTTAAACCGAGGTACCACTGTAGTTCCATCTAGCTCAATGTTCCCTACACGGAATGGCAGGAGCTGTCCATGCAGGAGTTTCTGGAGATTTGATGCTGGACCTTCTGTATGCAAAGCAGGTGACCTGTCCCTGAGGCCCGTTTGCTTCACCTGTCCCTGTTCCTCTTTTCATGGATGTGGCAGCTCCTTTGTCTCTGGAAAGGGACTTCTCCCACCCCCGTTGCAGCGGATGGTGCGAGAGGCAAGGACTTCCCCAGACTGTCTATCACAAATGGGTCAACATGGTAACTTTTAAGGATCTAGTTGTATGGCTGGGTGCCTAGTTGTTAACAGTGAATTGCAATTTGATGCTGCGTGGTGTTTCAATGCAACACCCCCTAATTCGATTCTTTTAGGGAAGCATGTGTGTGTGTTTGTTTTCTGGATTTGTGCTCCATTAGCGAATGGACTTTGCAGAAGGAAAGCCGGCGAGGAATTCACAGAAGCCGTAGATGTTTTCTGGGTTAATCTTATTAAAGCCACCCTCTTTAATTTTGCATGCATCCATGCACGGTATTTAGAGGAGGATTTCAAGAAACGCAGTTAAGTAGGGCTTTGGTTAAAGAGTCTGTTGCAAAGGGGTGGGAAACAATTTCAGGGAAAGCACAAGCCTGTTTGGACAAATAGCTGCCCCCCCTTCCCATTCTTCTGTGCCTTATGATGGATAGTATTATGGGATTGGGTGATCTCGGGGATTACCCCTATAAAGTTGGAACCTGGAAAAGAAGACAGTTAAAATGGCCAAACCATTTTCTTCCATTAGGTAAACAGCCAGGTCTATTAAGTGCCTCCTTTGTTATGTGAACCAGGAGCAATATGTTGCCCCAGGAACTAAATATCTGGAGGCAAGGTGACTGTCAGCAGGACAAAGAGGGCCTGTCCTTCTTCCTCCCTCCCCTCCCTTGGCTGGAGTTGATGCCATGGAAGTGGGCTTCTTGTGCAGAAGGGTAGGTAAAAAGGTAAAGGACCCCTGGACGGTTAAGTCCAGTCAAACTTGACTATGGGGTTGTGGTGCTCATCTCGCTTTCAGCCCGAGGGAGCCGGCGTTTGTCCACAGACAGCTTTCCGGGTCTTGTGGCCAGCAGAACTAAACCGCTTCTGGTGCAACGGGACACTGGGACGGAAACCAGAGCGCACAGAAATGCCGTTTACCTTCCTGCCACAGTGGTACCTATTTATCTACTTGCACTGGCCTGTTTTCGAACTGCTAGGTTGGCAGGAGCTGGGACAGAGCAATGGGAGCTCATCCAGTCACGGGGATTCGAACCGCCGACCTTCTGATCGGCAAGCCCAAGAGGCTCAGTGGTTTAGATCACAGCGCCAGAAGGGTACTTGCTGTGTACATTCCCAGCTCTTTATCCTCCACTGAGTCCAGGACACATTTCAGGCCAGGCCAAAACA